AAAACAGACCGCTTCTCAAGGGATCTCAGTTCTAATTACTCAAGCATAGCCGATCAGGATGACCACCTCGAGTGTCCACACTGCTACAGAATCATTTCCGCAGAGATTGGCAGTAAATTTTGCTGCTTTTGTGGAGGCATGTTAAAGAAAAATATTACTAGATGGTAAAAAGTCCACGAACAGTTTTGTAGTTTCAGTTTTAGTTTCATTTGATTAAGTTTATAGAAGGAATTTATGTATCTTTGAAGCACATGAAATGAAATAACTAAAATGACACTTTCTATTTACCGTTATATATTGAATAAAAAGAAAGAAAAAATTTTTTTTCATAACCTATAGACTTACTCATACTATGCACATAGGTGTGAAGTGAGTTTAAACTATCAAAAACTATTAGTGTGTATTAACAAGTATTAACTTTTATTAGTCAAATATCTATTTCACGGGTACATTGACCTCACTCTAAACTATAAAAATTAATAAAGATAAATGCTAGTGTTATTTTTGAAATTCACTGATCACACATTGAAATACCAGCCATAATAGAGTGAACTCACTTGATTTGTGCAAACCGTGCAAAACTGAATAGTGCAAAACTAATGATAGATTATTATGTTTTAAAATACTCTTTTTATGGTTATCAAAACTATTTAGTACCATAGTAATATTTGTTGGATGAATTTAGTGAGTTCACTCTAGATACCATTGCCTAAAAGCGTAAAACATCTACGTAACAACACATGACTGCCAGAAGAATTTTTTAAGATGGAATTACAAGGTCCTAAGTTATCTTTGTTTACTATTTTGCAAATAATATGAAAGAGACTACAAATTACACTCTGTCTTATGTCCTATTCTAGATCTTTATGTTCCTATTTTAATTAAATCTCTTATGCCTGAGTCACATGCAGTCCTCGACTGCGTATTTTTTAAAGAATGTGCTTGGCAAACTATGGAAAATTAGAATTGTCAAAGGGGTTGCAAGATATTAGGCATTCACGGTTAGCAAAAATTAAATCAGTTGGCTTCCATTTCTCCCTCGAAGACATGTCGAGTACGTTCCACTTTCGCTGTCTACGTAATTCGACCTTTAGACAAAAGACATGCCTTAAAACAGCGATGATTATCTTAGGCTCAGTCTCCAGCCGTCGGGATTTCGTGCRCCCGCGATACTCTCTCCCCTGACGGCTGGGCGCATGGGGTTCGAAACGTGTCGCACATGTCCGTGACGTTTTTGTGTTATTAGCATATCATGAATAACATCTGAATAATATCTGACAACAGCCGTATTAAAAGGTTTTGCTAAAAGGCGGGAAATTATGTGAAATGAAAACTTCGCGAAGTGGCGATATAATGCAATAGTTAGCGCTTTAAAAAAGAGAAAGGAACGGAAATTACCCCAAGTAAAACATGTGTAGGGTTTAATAATCCAAATGGATGTATTATCTGCCAGAAAAAACGAGCAAAATACACTAGTGGCGCTGTTTGAAAAATAAGACATTTGCCCGAGCCAGTAGGAAGAATAACAAGGACATCTTTTCCAAGAACAATCTCTTTAAGAGCCTTTTGCTGTATTTCTCTAAATTCGTCCAAGCTAAACGACTTCAGAGCGTTCAAACGAGAATCTCAAACGACGAAATTGTCCGCCATTTTGTTACACTGCGACGACGGCTGCCTGCTAATTTATTAATGATATGCCCCTGAAAATATCGGGGGCCACTCGCTGATTGGTCGAGACTGACAATAGCGAACCCCATGCGCCCAGCCGTCAGGGGAGAGAGTATCGCGGGCGCACGAAATCCCGACGGCTGGAGACTGAGCCTAG